GAAGCGCCTGCTCTTTACTCTGTGCCGTGGCCACGAAAAGAAGATGCGTGAGGAGTGGACCCCGATCCGCGAACTTCTCGCTGATGTTTACTGGCGAGGAGCTCCGCTGATTTCCACATACGAAGAAGAACTCCACCCTCCAGTTGACGCGCGCTCGGTCGGTCCTTTTAGAAAAGAAGCACTGGTGGCCTACCGCGTCTCACGGCATGTCTTCGAGGACGCCAAAAAGGTCGACGGTGCCCTCGACGCCATCGCACGCTACCACCCAAGAAAGCAGAAGAATGGCCCGAGGCGACCACCAGCCCACCCCGACGATGGCGGTCCTGCCACACGCGGTGCGACGAGCATCGACCCGAGGATCTTTGATGAGAGCGCCACCGGGATCTGTGGCCAGATGGCCATGCACGTCCACGCCGCCCTCAACGCCTCTTCAAAGGATCAGGCCCTCTCGGTCTGGCGCGCGGTCTCAGGCCGAGCTGTTGTTCGAGCGCACGCGCCAAGGCCCTCGAGGCGAAAGAAGCAAGCGCGCCGCGTCGCGGAGCGCGCCATCAGGAAGGGCTCCTTCGCGCCTCGCTTAAAAGATGAGAAAGAGGTCCCCCTCTTGAGGCGCGCTGGCAGGGAGTACGTGCTCGCCTTCGACTCCCCACGCGCTGTCTTGCGCCTCTAGACCCACTCACATCCTGGCTTTGCCTATCCTGTTCCGCTCGTGAACAGACGCACCGCTCTGTCCAACGCGACCCTCCCCGCCAAAAACCGCCCACAAAAGCACAAATTCGAGGTTTTTCGACCTCGAATTTGTGCCCTTCTCTGTCCAATTTCGAGCCTAAACAGGTTAAACCAACCATGTTTTTTGACCCGTTTAGGCGCGCGGGGCGATGATCTACAAATTCAGGTTCGCCATCCGTTATTTTATGTTCATCATCACGGATTTTATGCGCGCACTCCCTGATTTTATGCACCTCATCTCCAATTCGATGCACGGTGCATAGCCGATGGGTCGCGCTACATGCGGCTCATCGACTCGCCCAAGAAAATGCAAGCGAATAGAAAGAGAGCGGGTGGGACGAGCGGCGCCGAGGGCTTTCTTTCAAGAGCCCTCGGCCGTCACATTTTGGAAAAGGAGGAGTGGAAAAGGCGGAGAGACCTGGATGCTCTTTTGATGATGGATTGAACCGAAGGAAACCCCGCCGCGTCTCTGCCCGTGCGCTCGCGCCAGGACGCGGCGAGATCCCCTCGTCGCTCTCATCACACGAGGAGCACATCATGAGACATTCACGCACCTATTCGTTCCCCACGCTCGAGGCCCGCCCCGCCGAGTTCAAAGAAGCCTGGGGCACAGACCACCCCGCGCTCGAGGGGCTCGACGCCAGGCACTATGACACCATTTACCCTGGCCGCTACCATGTGGGTTACCGCATGGGTGAGTGGTGGCTCATGGGCGTGAGTTATCCGAGCGGAGGGCTCACCATGCTCGCCACGATCACCGAAGACGACGTGCGCGAGCTCGGCGTAAAGGGAAAGAAGCTCCTCTTCATTCAATCCAGGCGGGCGTGATACCTCTACGTGACGGAACAACGAGCGGGCACACGCGCTAGCGCGCATGTGCCTGTGGCACATTGTGCGCTAGCGCCCTGGCAAAAGGAGCAAGATCCATGAGCGATACTTCCACACAGATCCCCACGTTCGTGCCCGAACCTGACGAATTGCTCGAGCCGCTCGGGCGAGGTGGCGAGGATGTTTGGGCAAGGCTCAAGGCGCTCCGCTTTGATGGCGCGGCCTTGCTCTCGCGTTTCATCCCTGGAACTGGTCTTCGCGAGGTCAAGAGTTGGAGAAAGAGACCTGGTGCTATCGATGCTGCGACGCTCGAGGTCCTCGACGCGCTCGAGCATACGCTTGATGTGCAGCGTCGTGGCTGGAACCCCGTCGAAGGGGCGACGCTCGAGGCAACGGTTGGTTTGTTGGGTGAAAAGCAATGCACGCTCAAAGTTCTCGGTGAGGATGTTCAGTTTTCGATGCTCGATTCCAACGATGGGCTGGAGACGTGGAGCATCTCGAACTGGACATGCGTGCTCATGCGCCAGCAGCTCGAGGTGGAAGGGGGCACGGGACAGGATGCGACATGCCGTCGATGTTGGTTGATCCTGCCTGGAGAAGAGGTCGTGACGCTTGGAAAAATCAGCCAGCCAGGACTTTTCGGATGTGGAGAACTGACGGGCGAGCTCCGAGTGGTCGAGTTTTATGAGGGGTGGTGGGACGTTCAGGAGAGGTACAACCTCGCACCCTCCGATGCCACAACTTTTCCAGGACGCAGCTACTTCAAATCTTAGCGCGGCTCGAGCCCTCCCGCTTCGCTCTCTCGAGGTCTCTCCCCGACCCATGGAAGCTACCTTGACGCTTCGCTTACAAGGGGATCTTCATGGGTTCCTTTTTTTATTTCTACAAAACATATAAATCTTCTCCTCAAAAATATATGTTTTTGCAGGGACAGGTTTAAATATAACCCATGTGTTGGCGCCTCGCGGTCCATCATTCCGGTCTGCTCCTTTGGCCACTTCTCGCCATCGTGAGGACCTCGCCAGGGTGGTCAAGGGTTGTCCTCTCTCCACTGCGTGTCGCTGCGGGAACCCTTGACCACCCTGGCTATTCGGTCCTCTTCTTGGCTTCGAGGCCAAAGGGAGCAGACCGGAGATGGACGCGAGAGACACACCGAGCAAGGGCGTGTGCTTTCTTTTTGTGGAGTGAGCTTGCATCAAGGCGCCTGTCGGCGCGGCAGGCACAAGGGGGCGCTGCCCCCTCTCCCCCCGGAGACCGCCAGGAACTCCCGGAGATGGGTGGGGCTTCGCAGGTTGCATGTTAACACGCTTCGTTGCATTGGTGTTAACATTGAATATTTCTGACATGAAGTGTTTAAAAAATGCGCTGATAATATATAATATAGTTGTGTCAGATGATAGCGAGCGTCGACCTGGACAAGCCTTGACCGAATAAAAGATGGGAGAAGAGAAAAATGTTGGCTGAAGTCGAAAATTGCATCAAAGACGAAATGAAAGAAATGAAGTCAGGTTCTTACATGGAACCTGAATGTGAATTGCACGAAATGCAAGTGCAGTATGAGCAAGACTACGAGGAACGTATCGTTCCTCTCAGGAGACGTTTCAAGCAAGCCGCTGATATGCTCATGTCTCGAGGTGTGGATCGTGATGAAGTCTTGAGAATTGCACAGTCTGATGACGGCCCAGGAATCCATTTCGGCCTGTCAATTACGGAAGAGGATATTCAACGAGCCGAGTCAATGACGCTCCGAGTAGAAAAGGCAGCTTTATCGAAGCAGTTAGGATAAAATACTAAGTTAAAAAACTGCACTTTTTCAACCAATAGCATTGCAATTTTAGCCTGTTTTGTTACAATAGTTGAGTGGTTGGGGGATGGTCCTTCAACACAACTAAACCCCTCAAGATATGAGGAGCACATCATGTACAATTTCGCATACGAAACACCCGCCTACACCGACGAAACCAGCCGCTACGACGAGAACACCTTCTCTGCCAACGAGCGCCAGTTTAAAAACCTCGGTCTCTCGATTCGCTCGCTCGGTTCGATGAACACCAAGAGAGAGGTTGAAGCGTCCATGCGTCTGGTCTTGCCGCGAGGCTTTGCTGATACCGCCCTTTTTGCCTACGACCGCGCCGAGCTTTCCGATGGTTGGGAGGTCGCCCAAGCCGCTACTCTCGTCGCGGACGTGTTCGGCGAGCTGTTTGCCGAGGGCCACAACTACGAGGACATCGCGAAGGTCGCTGCCCAGTGGCTTCACACGCTCCATAACGAGCTGTCAGACGAGGACATCGAGACGCTCGAAACCCTGCACAAGCAACTGTGCGGCGTGAACGAGGTGGCAAGGCAAGGCGCAGCAAAGGAAGTCGTGAAGTGGTGGCCGACGCGCGAAGGCCAGACCTGTGAGCCCGCACCAAAGCTCGACGAGGCCCCCAGCGCCGAGGTTGGCAAGTGGTACGAGGCACGCGCGCTGGACAAGAGCATGTGGCGCGTGCGCAAGCGTGGCGAGGTTGTCGAGGCCGAGCAGCTCGACGCGCGCTTTAACCGCTCGCTCGAGCTCACGAAAGAGCAGGCACGCAAGAGCTTTAAAATCGTCGCCAGGCACGAGCCCGCAGCCTGAACAACGAGACGGACCCCACGCCCCTGGAGAGCGCGCCAGGGGCTCTTTTTTACCCTCGGCGCGCAGCGACGGGGGGGACACCCCCCTCGACCCCCCGAGGGTGCTCGAGACGAACGCTCACGGCGCTCTCTCCACGCCTCCTCGGGGCTTGCCAGGGAGAGCACGTCAAACAGATCAACATACGTTTGGGGAGAGCTCGTGTCCTCGTGAGGAAGGGTCTTCGTTCGATTTCATGAGACCCGTTCCACAAAAGACACTTTGGACCCCAGAAGGGCTATCAAGTAGAAAGGAGTGCACCATGCAGGTCAGGACACACGCATCGAACCGATTCCACATCATCCCTGGAGGACGGCAAGTGGAGGACAAAAAACCCATTGCGTTTCATCACGAGCATCAAGGCTTTACCGTCACCTTCAAGGGGGATGGCAAGACGCTCTGGACCATCGACTGGTCTTTCTGGGAAGGCACCACGCTCGCAGAACGCCCCCCCGTCGTCGCCCTCGCCACGCTCGGCTTCTCCCCGAGCGAGGCCCACCTCACGCCTGGTGAGGCGCGTGACATCTTGCTCGAGGCGCTCGAGCGACACGGCGAGCTCAACAACAAACGACGGCTTATGCTCGAAGCGATCCCCGATGAGGCGCATGACTTCCACGAGAAGACGCCCAATACCGCCAGGCTCGAGTCCTGGATGGGGCGCTGGTGGGTAGGGCTCTCGAGGTACTGATTGTAATTGTGCAGTTGGAAGAAGAAGGGAAGGGAGAAGACGATGAAGAAAGAGATGATGTGCATGGTGCTCGTGATGCTTTGCGTTGCCTCGGCCTGCGTGGAGTCCCCCGCGGGCTCGAGCAACAGCTCGAGCAGCACACAGGATATGAGCGCCACAGAAGACATGACCATGCTCGACATGAGCGACGGCGCAGATATGCCCGCAGACATGGACCACGCCCAGGACATGGATGCGCTGGCGCCAGACCTTGGCCCGGAGGATATGCCGCCGCAGAGCGCGTGCATGGCTCCATGTGAAGCAGGGCAGGTGTGCGATGAAGAGGCAGGCGCGTGCGTGGCCTGTCTCACAGACAACGATTGCGAAGGGGAGCTGGTGTGTGAGCCTGACACGAACACCTGCGTGACCTGTATTGACGATTCACAGTGTGGCGCACCAGGTGCGCCAAGGTGTGAGCCTGAATCCATGGTGTGTGTCGCTTGCCTCGACGACGGTGACTGTGGAGACAATGGCCGGTGCGATACAGAAAGCAACGCGTGCGTCGAGTGCCTTGGAAATGACGACTGCACACACCTTGGCACGTTCTCCTGCGAGCTCGAGTCCAACACGTGCGTCGAGTGCCTCGACAACACCGAATGCACCTCGCCCCAGGCTGCAAGATGCGGGGAGGGAAATGCCTGCTCGAGCTGCATGATCGACGATGACTGCAAACACCTTGGCCTCGCGCGGTGTGAGACGGGCACGTGTTACGAGTGTCTCCCCGAGAGCGAAGGCGAGGACTGTGGCGGCAACGCCTGTGATCCAAAGACCTTCACCTGCACCGAGACGCCGCTCAGCACCCTCGATTCCTGCCAGCCTTGCCTCGCAGACTCCGAGTGCGGCCAGAATCAAGGTTGTGTGGAGCTCACGTTTGGCAACGTCACGCGAGGTTATTGTCTGGTCGATGGTGTCGCCGCAGGAGGATGTCCAGCGCCCTATGTCGTCCCGCACAACGGGGTCACCTCACGTTCTGGGGTGACCAGTGACTGGTGTGGCATCAACGACCAGGTGACCTCGTGCGTGGCGGTGCGCCAGCGCGTCGAGGATTATCCGACCTGTGCGACCTCGGCGTCCTGTGGGTTGGCTGGAGAAGATGACGCGTTTTGTGTGGATGAGGGCATCAATGGTCTGGTCTGCACGTACCTTTGCACCCAGAACAGGCAATGCGATGAGACGCTCGAGGAGTGCAGGGATGTGGCTGGCGATGGCGTCCCTGGCAAGGTCTGTACACCACTTTGATGCACGCACACGTGAAGGAGAGAGAGATGAACACACGATGGATATCGAGCCTGGTGTTTTCGAGCGCGTTGCTGGCCTTTGGCTGCGAGCAGGAGCCGAAGCCGAAGGCGCCCACGAATCAAACGAGCGCGAGCTCGACGAAGGTCACCACGCCTGAGACCTCGAACCCGCCCCCGGACCAAACGAGCACCAGGCCCGAGGTGCACGAACCTCTGACCAAACGAGGCATCCTCGAGGAGAAGCTCTCGAAGATGAAGGATGTCAAGGCGCGCCAGGAGCTGCTCGAAGGTCACGAGTGGGTCAAGTCCTACACCACTGACGAGCACTCGACGGACGTCACGCTCCATGATGGGAGCGTGATCGATATCACGTACCACCGCAAAGGGACCGTGCCCCACCTCTAATATGACCCCGAGCCCCTCGAGCCCATCGTGGCGCGGCACCTGCCGGTGACCGCCGCGCCACGACGCGCACGAGGGGACGCCAAACCCAGAGCGTCTCCTCTCCTTGAAAAGTCAAAAGGAGAGACAGATGACGACCGACCACGTTCAAACCATCGCGCTCGAAAACCTCCAGCTCTCACCAACAAACCCCCGCAAAACGTTCTGCCAGGACGCGCTGAAAGAACTCGCTGAGAGTATCGCAGAGAACGGCGTCATTCAGCCCATCGTCGTCAGGCCACTCACTCCCACCACCTTCGAGGTGGTCGTGGGAGAGCGGCGCACGCGCGCTTCGAGGCTGGCAGGCAAGGACACCATCCCCGCGCTTGTCCGCGATCTCGACGAGGCCACCGTCCTCGAGCTCCAGTTTATCGAGAACGACCAGCGCGAGGCCGTCGCGCCGATCGAGGAAGCCGATGCCCTCGACGTCCTCATCAGAAAGCATGGCAGAGATCCAAAGGATCTGGCCGCAAAAATTGGCAGGCATGTCTCCTACATTCACAGACGTCGCCTCCTGTGTCAGTTGATCCCCGAGCTACGCGAGCTGGTCAAAGCCGAACGCATCACCCTCGGGGGTGGCGAGGCGCTCGGTCAGCTCCCCGAGAACATGCAGCGCGAGCTCGTGAACGCCAGGTTGAAGCCGGACGGCGTGGACCATGAAGGGAACTTCCTCTCATGGAGCACCAAGAGTGTGCTCCATGCCATCAAGTTCATCACGAGAAAGCTCACCCACGCGTCCTGGGAACTCGACGAGCAGCTCGGTGACCTCCCTGCCTGTCAGGGTTGCCCTTCTCGCTCGGGAGCCCAACCCGGACTCCCTGGGCTCCCTGCTGATGCGGACGAGGAGGAACGCTGCCTCGATCAATCCTGCTGGGCCAAAAAGCTGACCGCAAAAATCGAACAACTTCGCGAGCAGCGCGAGCAGGAGGGGATGCGCATCTGGACTGAGAAACACCAGGAGGAGCGCGCGAAAAACTACAGCGCGTTCACCACCTGCTCGAGCACCTGTTGGGCTGACCCCAAGCGCCGCACCTACGAGGAGCTGCTGCCAAAGGCGCCGCGTTACGTGTCCATCGAAGCACAGAGCGGCGCAGTGCTCGAGCGCCACTACTTCTCACGCTCGGATATCCACTCCAACCTCGAGCGCGAGCACCACGAGATCTACCTCAAGCTCGCCAACAAGATGAGCGAGGAGGCGGCCAAAAAGCGCAAGGCCGAGCGCGAGGCGCTCGAGAAAAGAACCAGGGCGTGCGTGGCATGGGCTGGGGAGCAAAAACCGACGCGCGCCATGCTCGCGCTGCTCGCCAGGGCGACCATGCTCGAAGCGGGGAGGCATGAAGGAAAGAAGGTCGCGTCGAGGACCCAGCCAAAGGATGATCCTCGCGCCTGGGACATCTACCTGAGAGAGCGCATTGACGAGGCGACCATCGGCGAGTTGCTCGGGATCATGGCCGAGTTCATGCTTATGGGTGATCCGAGCGGGTACAACATCCAGGAGCAGCTTCTCCTCTGGGAAGCTGCAAGCAGGAAGTGAGCGCTGCCAGCCTCACGGATGAAAGGGAAGGGAACCAGGTCCATTCGCTTACGCGACCTGGTTCCCTTCCCTTTCATCTGCAAGACAAGCAAGTGAGGCAACACATGTTTACCGAACTCCACACAAAGCTCACACACTGGCTCACGCAAACACATGACACTGTGCTTGCGCGAGACCTCCAGCCCTTGCTCGTCACAGGGAGAGACGTCGATCTTTTGGGGGCGCTCGCCCTGCTCGATTTGCACGAGCGTCTGACCCCCACCGAGCGCGCGGCGTTTAACCAGAGCATGGCCAAGGGGGAGCTTCCCTCTCTTCCAAAGAAAGCCCCGGAGCTCTGGCTCGAAACACACCCCGAAGCTCGCGACGTGGCCATGGCGCTCACACGAGACTACCTGACCGCCCTGCTCGATGATCTCGAGTTGCTCATGCCAGGTAACCTTCCCTTTCGATGGCCAGCCATGTGCGAGCGACGCGAGCAGGCTGCTGCCCTCTCCCGCCTCCTCGGGGAGCCGTTCGATGATCTGCTCGAGCAGATCGACGCGCAGGGAGCGCGGTGGGCAAAACAGGCACACAGCATCCTGTTCGAGGGCAGCGAGATGCTCCAGCGCGCAGGCTTCGCGCTCCCCGGTGCCTGGTGGGTGCAGAACCTTCTGATTTACAACACCTGATTCTCCTGCTTGCGAGCTCCAGGCTCCAGGACGAAAAAGGCAAGCCCGAAGGCTTGCCTTTTCTCGTTCTTGCGCTTTGGAGAAAAGCGGTGGGCGGACAAAGCGAGGAAGACTCAGGCCGCGAGTTTTTGGATGCGCACGCTGCGCTTTTGCTCCCAAAAATCACTCAGGTTTGCTCGAGGCTCGCGCCATCTTCGCAAACCTCCTTCACAGGTCTTCCACTCGCTCGATCGCCGTCCGCGACACTGCGTGATCGCTCCTGGCATCGAGTCCGCTGACAGGCTCCTCGAACCGTTAAGAGCTCGGCGGTGATCTATTGTGCAGATTAAGTTGACCGGTGTATGTTTTCGAGGTGATAACATTTTCAGTAAAATGGAGCAGAATAACAGATGGGCATCGAGGACAAATATGAACGCCTCACCCTTATTGATCGCGGGGGTATGGGTGAAGTTTGGAGGATGAAACGCCGGAGCGATGCGAAGGAGTTCGCAGTCAAATCAATCCGTCTGGAACGCTTAGAAGACTCGAATTTCCAGGCACGCTTCGAGAGAGAAATGAAAGTTCTCACAACGGTTAACCACCCGCACCTCGTGAGTGTGGAAGAGCTTATCGTTGGAGAAAGAGAGCAGTTCATTGTGATGGAGTTGGCTCGTTGTGATTTGACCAAAATGATCAACGATCCTCATGCCACAGATGAACAACTTTCGGATGTTTTTGTAGGTCTCTGTCGTGGACTGGCTTATCTACATGAAGCTGGCTTGGTCCACAGGGATTTAAAACCTGGCAATGTGTTGGTTTATGGAGACTCAACGGCCAAGATTTCAGACTTCGGTTTAGCATTTTGGGGGGATCGTTCGATGAGCACGCTCACTGCTTCAGGCACGACAGTTGGTACTCCTTTTTACGCTGCGCCTGAACAGATGGAAAACGGCAAGCATGTGGATAGCAGTGCTGATATGTGGGCACTGGGGTTGATTGCTTACGAGATTTTGCTTCGAAAATCTCCGAACTTTTCCAGATCGATCCAAGGGACCGCACGAATTCATGAATTGGTCCGAATATGTTTGCGGGATGAGCCTGATGAGCGGAATGTCACATGTGAAGAGATGGCTGGGGCTTTTTGCCAATATTTTGGTTTGGAACTGAAAGATGAGCCGCTCCCAAGAGAGACCCAGCAAGCCGTAACTTTCGGGAATCTTATTGCTGCAATCAGGTATATCCAATCCGACAAACAAAACGAAAGTGCGATGCACTACTTGTTCCGAAAACGAGGAGAGGAACTGGATACCTCTGGTGGTCCTATAAAATCTTACTTGCGAGAACTATTTAAAGCTCAAGCAGATGTCCTCAAATTGGCTGAAGAGATCAGTAAAAAGGAGACTCCTGATGATTGAGCACAGTCTTGCTTACTTGTCTGATGCCGTTGGTGGCCAGCAACGTGAGCACCAAGCTCCTATACGATTTCTTGTTTTAGTGTGGGCAAGACGGTGTGCTGGATGATCGAGAAGACCGAGAGCAACGCGAGCGTTTTGTCCCGGTGAACAGCGCGAGAAACTCGAGCCTGCTCACCTGCGGTTCTTCTCGATGAGGTGGGCGATTTCGTCCTCGGTTAGCTTCAAGGTCTCCATCCTCGCGTTCCAGTCCGCGTGCTTTTTCTCGATCGCCTCTGCGATCAACCGTCGCAACACATCCTGGCGGCTCTCCCCCTCCTCGCACAGCTCGTCGAGCGCCTCGCTCTCGCTCTCATCCATACGCAGGAGTAGCTTCACCGCGCGCTTCTTGTAGTCCTGTGGCCTGTTCCCCATCTGTCCGCTTCTCCTGCTCGACAACGATTAAGATATCATAATGCCAATAATGATATCTTAATCGCTTGCTATCCCTTCCTGCCTTCGTTTCCCGTCTGCTCGAACCCGTCCAGGCGCCGTGGTGACGCACGTCACCACGGCAAGTACACCCGCCTCGCCCATTTAAACCAGGCCACTTCCCAACCACGTTCATCTTGAAGACCACACGGTCCCTTTGGTCCTCGTGTGACCTTCCTCGTGAATTCCGATGGAAAGGAGCCGAATTGACCAGAGGAGTGTAACATGGCAGAATGCGTAGTGCCAGCTATGCACTAGCGACGTCGCTAAGGCTCGCAAGCTCGCCTAAACGACGCCGTGACGTGCGAAGCTGGCCCTCACTGACGCTCGGGAGCGGCTCGCGTTGCTCGCCTTCAAATCGAAAGGGTTTGTCTCGCGCTGCTCACCAAAGCTCGCGTTGCTCGCTGTGAAAAGGATGCACCACCAGGAGTCCTGTTTTGGCCAAAAGTCCGACCTACAAGACACGCCACGAGACGGCGCAGCGGACCGAACGCATCCTCATTCGCGTGACGCCCGAGGAGAAGGCCGAGATCGAGGAAACGGCGAGGATCTTCGAGCAATCGATCGCGGAGACGGTGCGTAAGGCCGCGCTCAATGTGCGCATGGCTTCACCTCCGAGCGCGGAGAATTTCGAGCAATGGAAGACGATGGGGAAGGTCTCACAGACCATCAACATGTTCCTTCGCCACCTGCACCGGGCGCATCAGCGGCTCGATGAGAAGGAGGTGTCAGGCACGCTCGGGAAGCGAGATTTGAGTGAGGAGCTCGCGCAGGTGCTCGCGATCGCCACGCACTACGAGGCGAAGATGGAAGAGCTGATCCCGGTGATCGTGGAGATCCGCGAGCTGCTCATCGATCAGTGGGAAGAGAACAAACGTGAGGCGCTCGAGGAGTGATCACCAAGATCAACAGAGGCAACGACCTGGGCGCGACCTTGCGTTACGTCTACAGGGAGGACGCCACCCCCGAGGTGGTCGCGGGCACGGCTGTGGGGAGCAGCCGTGAACAGATCGAACGCGATATGATGAAGGCCATCGACCGGCGCGCGGACCTCAAGAACCCTGTCGTCCACATGATCCTCTCGATCCCCAAGGAAGAGCACCTGACGCTCGATCAATGGGGTGAGGTTGCCGAGGAATACACCGAGCGTATGGGCTTTGGTAAGGCGCCCTATATCGCCGTGCGTCACCAGGATACCGAGCACGAGCACATCCACATCGTGGCCTCGAGGGTGGACGTGTTTGGCCGACCCATTCGTCTCTCCCACGACTATTACAAGAGCCAGGAGATCGCGCGCGATCTGGAGCAAAAGTACGAACTCGGGCGCGTGCGCTCGTCATGGGAGCGCGAGACGAAGGACCGCTCTCAGGGCGAGTATCACCTGACCCAACGCACGGGCGCGGAGACGCGCAAGGAGCGGGTGCGGCGCGAGCTTTTCGGGGCGCTGGAGCAGTGTAAGGACGTGCCCGCGCTCGCGTCGAAGCTGCGCGAGAAGGACATCGAGCTTGTCCCAAAGGTCACCTCGGATCAGTCCAAAGTCGTTGGCGTCGTGTTCAAGGTCGAGGGGTGGCACATCCCCGGTTCACGTATCGATCGCGCGCTCTCGTGGAATCGGATCGCGGAGAAGCTCGAGTATGAACACGCGCGCGACTTCTCGCGCTTGAGCGCGCCACCCGAAGCGCCAGCCCGAGCAACGGGTGAGGTCAGCCAGGCGTCACCGAATACACCAGGAAGAGAGAGCGCGGCGGAGCTGATGCGGCCTGTGGTGCCTGAACCTGTGTCACAGGAGAGCGGCCAGGAGAAGCGCGAGCGCGTGCAAAACGAGCTGCAAGCTGCGCTCGAAAAGGCGCCTTACCATAAGGGCTGGGAGGCGTGGGCAAAGGCCCTTAAAGAGCAAGAGATCGAGGCGATCCCCAAGGGGACCCAGAGCGAGGAAGGCAAGCTGCGAGGCATGTACTTCGAGAAAGAAGGCGTGCGTTTGCCCGGCTCGAGCGTGGGCCGCGAGTACAGCTTTGGCAACCTCGAGCAGCGCCTCGGTGTGTATGAGAAAGAGCGAGACGCCGTAGCCTTCGCGCGCGTGCACATCCCCGGTGTGGGAGATCAGGCGATGCCTTCTCGTAAGGAGCAAGCGCGCGAGGAGGCACCTGCTGTCGTGCAAACTCCCTCCCCTGAAGCAAGCCGGTCGCGCGCTCCAGAACATGGCGTGAGGTCTGTCCAGCCGCCGCAGATAACGCCAGAGGAGCGTAAGGAACACATGGTTGCTGACATGCGTCAGGCGCTCGAGGACGCGACGGTAGACCAGGGTTGGAAGGCGTGGACCAGATCGCTACGCGAGCAAGGCGTCGAGGCGATTCCGAAGGGCACACAGGCTGATCCAGGCAAGCTGCGAGGCATGTATTTCGAGAAGGAAGGTGTGAGAGTCCCTGGGTCCGAGGTGGGGCGAGCGTACAGCTTTGGCAACCTCGAGAAGACGCTCGGAGCCTATGAACGGGTCAGGGATCAGGCCGCGTTCGAGCGCGTGTATGTGCCGGGTGCAGGAGATACGGAGGTGTCTGTTTCTGTAGAGCAGGGCCGTGAAAACACGCGCGGGGAGATGCACGCACCTTCGCCCGAAGCAAACCAAACGAGGACTCCAGAAGACGAAGGAAGGCAGGCTCTGCGACAAAGCTCGGCGCTCGGGGAGCGTGAGGAGCACACGAGTGATGTGACGCAGCCGGAGGCCGAGGATACGCCGAGAGTGGAGGGGGAACACGTGGCAGAGCAGCAAACCGTCGAGGAACAAAGTGTCGAGCATGCCGTTGGCCACGATGGTGAGAAGAGCACGGTGGAGCTGTTCTGCGAACAGCTTAAAAGGGAGCAGGAGAAAGCAGCGGTCGACGAGGTTGTTGTTGAAGAAGAGGGCGCACCTCTTCCAGCATCCAAACCGATTGCGCCCGATGTCGAAGCTCCTGCCCCGGCATCAACGTCACGTTCACCTGAGACATCACGAGCCTCGCTCGAAGAGAGAAACGCCCCTGGAGTAGAGGACCAGAGGCGCCCACCCGAGGTAAGAAAAGCACGCACAGCATCGCGAAAGAGTGAGAGTGAACGCGTGCTCGATGAAGCCAAGCGTGTGGTTCATGCCATGGATCGAACCGCCGATGAAGAGCTCATCGCGCGTCTTCGTGGCCGGAACTTGCTGGCCGGGCTCTCACGCAAGCCTGAAGACCCCAGAAACAAGCAGCGAGAGCAGCGCGAGCGCCAAGATCCTCCGGGGAGCAGGCGCAACCCTCTTTCTCCTGGAGATGTCCAACGCAAGATCCTGGAGACCGAGAAGCCATCGGCCAAGCTCGACCAGGAGCCGTTTATGGGGGCGGTGAAGGAGGTTTTTTACACCAGACAGGGTCGCGTCGCGTTGCTCGAAGGAGAGCGCAAGATAGCCCTCGTGGCACTCAAGGAATACGATCCTCGCTTTGTTCAAGGCCGCGTCTTCTCGATCACCCCTGACCAGGAAGGGAAGGGGATCGTGATCGATGAGATCTACCGAGGCAGGATCGAGAACCCGTTCAACGCCGAGGAGGCGAACCTGCGCTTCGAGCGCTACGAGACCGAGCGTGTGCCCGTAAAAAAGGAGCCGTTTGTCGGGCAGGTCAAGGAGACCTTCTGCATCGAAAACTATGGTCAGGTCGCCATCGTCGAGAACGAATCGCATCATGCGGTGGTCCGCATCCAGGGACATGAAGAGCTGCTCCAACCTTATCGCTTTGTCACGGTTTCGCCCCAGGAAGAGGGAGGCGTCGCGGTCGAGTACACGTTGGGGAGCCGAGACAAACCGCTGACGATCGAGCAGCTCAGAGAGCTGGACGGCAGCCTCCCCACGCAATCCGTTCGCGCGGATAAGGAGGCCATCAAGGGTCAGGTTCTTGGCACATTCTACGTCGAACGTATCGGGAGAATGGCGCTTGTTTCAGATGGGAAACAGCATTCGATCGCGAAGATTCCTTACCTTGACCGAGAGCATTTCGAGCATGGAGCTCACGTCGAACTCTATCCCAATCCCGAGGGGCGCGGCGTCCTCTTGAGCCCTCCAAAGGGGCGTGTGGAGAACCCCTATGCGCTCGAAGAGGTCGAGCTCGCGCTCTTTAAAAGGGAAACCGAGCGCGTGGTTGTCTCGTTGGAGTCGGCTCGAGAAGCAGGCGGCGTATATCCCCATCAGACGCAGCTTCGGGGCAAGGTTCGCGATGTGTTTCACATCGAAGGCCAAGGCCAATTCGCGCTGCTGGAGAACGAATCGCACCATGCCCTGGTCCCTGTCGAGAGCAACAAGGACGTGTTCGAGCGCGGGAGAGATGTCACGGTGATGGCCCTGGACGATGGGCAGCTCGCGGCGCAAATCACGCTCGGGAGCAAAGAGAACCCTTACTCTCGAGCGCAGCTCGATGTGCTCGAGCAAAACCTCGACACCGAGGCCGTACACACGCGCAAGGAAGACATCAAGGGTAAGGTCATCGAGACGCTTTATGTCGAGAAGTGGGGACGCATGGCGCTCGTGGTGAACGAGGAGCAGCATGCCATTGTCAAGATCCCCTACCGAGAGCGCGAGAAGTTCGAGCGGGGTGCAGACGTCGAAATCTACCCCAACCCCGAGGGGCGTGGCGTCGTGTTGAGCGCGCCCAAAGGACACCAGGAGAACCCTTACACGCGCGAAGAGGTTGACGCCGCGCTCATGGCAAAGGAGACCGAGCTTGCAAAGCTCGAGTATGAGCCTGGTCATCAGCATGGCGAGCCACCACATATGCGTGGTCGGGTGCGTGAGGTCTTTCACGTCGAGGACCAGGGAGCGTTCGCGCTCGTCGAGAATGAATCGCATCATGCGCTTGTCCCTGTACAGGGCAATGAGGTGCTCGCGCGCGGGAAAGACGTCACGGTGATGGCCGTGGGAGATGGAAGGTTCGAGGCTCAAATCACGCTCGGGACCAGGGAAAATCCTTACTCGAGAGAACAACTCAGTGCGCTGGAAAAAAGCCTCCCCACGACCTCGACGCATACCCGCAAGGAAGACATCAAGGGCAAGGTGATCGAGACCTTGTATGTCGAGAAATGGGGCAAGATGGCGCTCGTGGTGAATGAAGATCGCCACGCGGTGGTCAAGATCCCTTACCGAGAGCGGGAGCGCTTCGAGCGTGGCGCGGACATCGAGATTTATCCTGCACCGAATGGGCGAGGGGTGGTCTTTAGCGCCCCAAAGGGCCACCAAGAGAACCCTTACTCGCTCGAAGAAGTCGACGCGCGGCTCGCCAAAAGGGAGCTCACGCGCGTCGAGCTCGCGTCCACAAAAGCGCAGCGAGAGCCAGGCGTTGGCGAAGCGCGAAAAGAGGGGGCGCTGATCCAGGGAAGAGTTCGCGAGCTCTTGAACGTGGAGGGGCGGGGCAAGGTCGCGCTCGTCCAGGGCGACAAGGAGGCCGCGCTGGTGCCGGTGAGCATCGACCCCGAGGTGCTCGCGCGAGGCAAGGACGTGAGCGTGGTGGCGCTGGACGATGGGAAGCTCGGTGCGCAAATCACGCTCGGGAGCAAGGAGAATCCTTACTCGAGGGAACAACTCGAGGCGTTCGATAAAAGCCTCGCGACTCGATCGACGCGCTGGGATCGAGAGCCCATCGAGGGGAGCGTGGTGAAGGCGTTCTACGTCGAGAAGTGGGGACGCATGGCGCTTATCGCCAACGAAGAGCAACACACCATCATCAAGATCCCCTATCAAGAGCGCGAGAAGTTTGGGGTTGGCAAGCAGCTCGCCTTGACGCCAAACCCACAGGGTCGGCCTACCATAACGGAGGTCGAGCAGGAGACAGCGCACACGTCATCTGGGGTGGCGGAGCGCGGGCCGGTGGGGCCACAGTTTACCGACCAGGCCAGGCAAGACGAAAAGGGTGTGCTCGAGCAGAGCGTTCCACACGAGACACCATCACCCGCCAGGGACCCCGAAACGACGGAGCAAAAGCCAGCGCCACCCGCAAAACAGAAGAGCTTTGGCGAGCTGCTCAAGGACAAGATCGAGAAGGAACTCGGACCCATTTCGCTCGAGAAAGAACCTGTGTTGAGTCGTGAAGAGGTCAGGATCAGGCTCGAGATGTACCAACTTCGTGAAGAAAAGAAGGTGCATATCAACCCCGAGCGCTTTGACGGGGCGGTGCGCGAGGTGTTTCGTTCAGAAGATGGCGCGCGGTGGGCTGCCATCGATGACGGGCGTGCAGTGGCCATGGTCGATGTCACCAGGAAGGAGATCGTCGGAGAGCTCACGCGTGGCATGTCGGCGCGCATCGAGGCCGAACGACCAGACAAGCTCGTCGTGGGGCAGCCGCGTCAAGTGGAGGTGGAGAAGCCTCGTGGTTTGGAGCGAGAAGATGCTCGTGCTGAACAGGCGAAAGAATCTCCAAAGGCGGAGATCGCCGCCGCCCAGTGGATAAGCGAACAGCGCGCGCTGGGTGAAAAGGTCCGCCTGCTCGAGCCAACACAGCGGGTGCGGGGCGTCGTAGAAGATAAGGCGATCGAGCTAAAAGAAGGGACGTTCCATGTGATCAGAACGAGGGAGAGCGAGCGCGTGCTTGTTCAGGACGCGAAACTCGGGGAGTCCAAGGGAGAGAAGGCGACAGCCTATGTGAACCCGTCAGGGAGGACGTTTGTCGAGTCGCTCGAGCGGGACCGCGATCGTTGACTTGGGAGAGATACAAAACGCCCCTCGATGATCCCATCAAGAGGCGGTGTGAGCATCCATCGATAGCAGAAGGGGCATCTCGAATCGAGATGCCCCTTCCTTATTCGACGTGCGTGGCTTGTCGATGGAAATGTGATCAGTTGCAGTCAAACGTCGTGTAAGCACAGGTGTAGTTACCTTTGGTCTTGCACGATCTTTTGTTTGTCCAATCGACCTTGTTCTTGTGGGTGGCGTCCAAATTCGAGACGTCCCCGTAAGCCGCTCCCTTGCTCTGGGCGAGCTTGTTGCAAGCGCTACCAGCAAAGTTCTGGGCGTCTTCGTCTGTACAACTTCTTACGCCCTTGTGGTTTAGCGAGCGCGCTACTGAAGACGGAATTTTGAGGCGGGAAACATCGTTTCAATTCAAAGAAGTCCAAGCCATATTCCCGCAAGAGAGGTCAGCTCATGAAAGCGAAGTCCGTCCACTGCATCGCCCTGCTCGTGGTCGGGTTTGTCGGTTGCGGTCCACCTTTGAGTGAACCCGATGGGGGTGATGACACCACCCAACCCAAACCCTTGACCAGCGCGTGTGAAAATCCGAGCCAGGTGATCCCCCCAAAATTCGAGCTCGAGTGTGATGACTCGAAAACCCTCTTCGAGCACACCTTCACGCGGGAGAAGGGTCAAAAGAACGAAGAAGCCGTGGATTTTTCCACGGCTTCTTCGTTTGTGTGCGTTCGCATCGAGAGCTCGGGTGTAGCGAGCGCGAACTTGGCGTTGAATGGTCAAAAGATCATCGAACCCAAGGATCTCAATGCCCACGAAAAGAGCTTCACTCGAATGCTTCGCCTTGATCCCAAGCGGAACCACACCCTGTCTGCTTTGCTTACGGGCAAACCCAAGGAACAGTTGGATGTGAAAGTCTTTGGAGCAAAGCCAACGTCAGTAGAGAACAGCGTCACCAGCTTTACCGTCGAAAATGGTAAAGCCACATGCGTCGACCTCTGTGGTGGAGCGAGCAGTCTGTCGTTTTCCGCTGGTGCATTGCCCGCAGGGGTGAGCGAAAAGGAGTTCGAGGTGGTCTGTGACTGGTCCGCGATGTCGCCAGAAGATCGATCTCCAAAACTTGTCTTCTCGCCAGATTTTGTCTTCGCAGATCCGCCCGTGTTGGATCACTTCAACTTCAGCGAACCCCATGAGCGCGTCCACAGGCTTTTGGACGGAGAAGAACTCTCGACGCAGGTCGTCGCCACAGAGCAGATGGATGGGAGCTCGATCGTGCTCAGACGG